AGAGAGAGAGAGAGAGAGAGAGAGATTCATTAATTGTTTTTTTAATTGATAGCAAACCAACCGTAAGCGAAGAGTGGCCACAATTATTGACTGATAATAATATTTTTGTGAAAAACCTAAACCCAAACCCTAAACCAAATGTATTTATCAATTCATACAACACTACGTGTGAAGGCGTTTGGAAATCATATTTCTTGTGAAAATAAATAATTTTCAGATTATAAAATAAAAGACTTATCATTTAATTACAATAAATAGTATAATTTTTATTGGTTTTATAACGATTTGGATTTATTATGAAATATTTTTAATCAATATAGTTTATGGTATTTTAACTTTCATATTTTTACATAACATCAAGGTTTAATCAGTCGATATAACAAACTGTTGATTATTAATTATAACTTTTTATATTCAGATGTCTTGACATTCTTAACAATATTGTATTGTATTTTTGATGAGATCTCATGATTGATATCTGGGAACAGGTTTTGGTTGTCATAAAAATGCAGTTTTGAAAACACGTGGAAATTAAACAAAACTACAAACACATTGAATATACTTTTCAAACGTTTGTATCATTGCATTCATTGTGTGTTTTATTTATAATTTTAGTATTAGTTAATTATTTTTTGTTGATTTGATTGAAAATGTGTTCAAAATTAATGAGTGTTTCGTTGATTGAAATGAAGAGTAAATTCAATGCAATGAAGAGTTTGTGTGAAATAATAGACAAAATTCAGTGTATTTTGAATACAAATAATAGTGTTTTGTGTGAAGCGATTGAATGCGAAAATAATGATTATTTTTCAATCAATCAAACAATTGATTGCAATTCATGTAAAATCAGTGATAAAATGCTAAATAATTGTCATATCATTACTAAATCTGATGATTATTTTTACTGTTTTTGGCCTAAATGTCAATACAAGACAACAACTAAGAAACTGTTAACTCGACATCAATTAATTCATTCAGAAATAAAAAAATTTAAATGTTATTTTAATAATTGTAATAAAACCTTCAAAACGAAAACAGACTTAAATCGACACAAAAATATCATTCATTTAAATGTGAGATTTATTTGTGATTTCAATGAATGCCACAAAAGTTTTATATCAAAACAGTATTTATTTCTCCACAAAAGTTGTGTTCATTTGAATGAAAGAAAATTTAAATGTAATGAAGAAAATTGTGGCAAAATATTTAGTCAAAAATTAAGTTTAACTGTTCACAAACGCATTCATTCGGGAGAAAAACCATTTGTCTGTCATTTCAATGATTGTAACAAAACATATACTCGAAAATCTTATCTCAAAAAACACATTAAAAAACATCTCTAAAGAGTAATAAATGTATTCATAATAACTGTAATCTATTATTTGTTAGAAAATTAGAAATAATATTAATTAGCATATGGATAAATAATATTATTTCAGGTATACAAATTATTAATATTCAATATTATGTACAGAATAACTAGATCTAAAAATTTAATAACAATGATAATTAAATATGATTATATCTATGAATTTATTATAATTTTAAATTATTTATTGATAAAATTTTCTCTCTCTCTCTCTCATATTTACCCATATTTAACAAAATTAGTCCACATTTTCATGACATCTGCGCTAAACTCGGTGTCTAAAGGGGTGTAGAGACCGGGTGTGAGGTATGGCTGTCCGGATGTGAACGTACTCTCAGCGCAATGACATATACCCATACCCTCCCGATCGCAACCCAGTTGGTGGGCGTAATACTGGCTCTGGTAAGTGACCTGGTAGAAATATACATTACGACCTTGTTTAGCATTGGCGGCCACTTGTTTGGCAAACAGATATGTCGGACATTTCATTATTAAATCGCCAAACAATTGATAAAACGCTTTCTTGAGCTCAAGTGAACTGTTTTTGTCGACATTTTGTAGATAATAGTCGTCCACACGTTTCACATCCAATCCGTGGTAAACACTGTCCGACGTCTTCGTGGCCTCAATAAAGTCACCGACAGTTATATTGTCTTTCGCGGGAAGTGTTGATTGCGATAGCATTGAGCCCTCATTGGTAGCGATGCCGGCGATTATGTCCACATCTAGATGTTATTGTCACACAAATTTTAATCGTGATAAATATTGTATTTTTAATTAACACAAACCCATACCTGAGTTATACTATTTGTTCGCAAATGCCTTTTGAGCAGAAATGGGCAAAAATTCAGTGCCCAATACGGGATATGTTAAAAGAATCGTGTATTTGTTGAACACCTTTGCGTCCAATCCTCGCAAACATTGCAACCAATCCTCACTTTCGCTGCAATTCTGCTCTTTTGCTATCCGTTTGCCTAAAAGTATTGACTCCTCTTTACTGACAACATCCCTGTCTTTGTTATACATATGGGCGCCGCTCTCCATAATAGCCCTCTTGAATAGGCCTTTGGATAGCGGGGAGAGTATGTGTGCGGACACCGACCAACTCCCGGCACTGCCGCCTAATATAGTGATCTGATCCCTATCTCCTCCAAACTGTTCAGCATTTTCTCTAACCTATTATTATGTCATAAAATCATATATTATTTCATTAATAAATACAGTCAATTATCTTTGCTGTCAACAGAACGGTTCCAGATGATTTGGTTGATAACATCGATTAGTTGATAACATAGATAATACACAAAAATTGATTAAAAATTCATTTATTAGCTGAAATTTACATAACATTTACTTTTTAAAGAAATAATCAGTAATGTTTGATTGTTATAATGAATTAAAGTTGATCCAAAGATTGCATATCATTTAAATTATCATTAAACCACTCATTAGTTTATGAATTATTTCATATTTTGTTTGAATCGATAATTTGTTTCGCTTTTCAGGCATTTTAATACAATAATAGGCAACCTTTTGTAAAAAGTATTTTAAACTTATTTACAGTTTAATACAAGACTAACGTATGATCAAAACATATAATGCATTGGTTTGCGTTTGCGTATTATGTTTTAGTTTTAGTTGACAGGAAAGATATAATTATGCATATAAATGCCACAAATTTTAGGATAAAATGTGTTGATATGATAGATTGTTGACAACACAGATGTTGACAACATAGAGATTATTTTAACATTATGTCTATGTGGTGTGTATTTGGGTTTTAGAGTTTGGTTGATATGATCGATTAGTTGACAGCACAGATAGTTGA